CTCATATGAACGTCCATTGGAATTTCTTGATAAAGGATTCCAAAAGCATCCCTCTGTTGGGTTCCTCCTCATTTTTCTTTTGTCTTCCAAGGCTGGACTCTAGAGTGATGGATTCAGGATTTGCTTTCAGGTATTTTGATAGCTATTGCAGTGGTTAGAATCAGTGTCAGTCCCCTCTCAGAGGCTTCTAGATGGGGGAAAAAACAAATTTATCCATCATTTAAGAACAGTAGCTGGTTGTCTCCCTTAGCTACAGGTGGGCACTACAGTATTGGAGACCAGGATTTGAAGTCCTACATCTGAGCAGCACTTTCTGATTAGGAACAAAATCATCAATGAGAAATAATTGTCTAAATAACTTTTTATATAGACTAAAGCCTAATGTCCAGGAAGTGTAATCTCTTGAACTCTTAAAGAAGTATACTGATGACTCTACTATTTGGTTATACTTTCCTTTTGGGTGATTAAGACCATACAGTTGGCCCAAATAAATCAATTTATTTTTACAATTAAGGTCATTTGAAGATCTGTTCCTCAGGGGTCACATGGGCTTGGGAGGAGCACCTGGCTCCTTACTTTTACCAGTTCCATCTATGTGAAGATAAGTCAAAGGTCCTGCTTGACCATGTCTGGCTTCACTTGGAAGCATGAATGAGATGTTTCCTCTGAGTTGACCCTCCTCCTCTTTGTTGATTAGACACTGCTTCAAGTCTATCTGGTGGGGTCTCCATGTCTTCCCTGAACAAGAGGGCAGGTGACTCACCATAGTTACAGGACATTTTGAGAGATGTTCCATAGTCCTCTGGAACTTAGTTGACCTTGGAGGGCAAGGGGTTAAAAACTGTCCCTCTGACCACATTAATATAGGCCTAAAACTATGGCTGTGAAACATCCAATAAGGTTAGTTCCACCAGTCTGGTACTTTTAATTATCATGTGCTATGTAGATAAGGCTTGGGTCAAAAAACAAATATTCTCAGATAAACTTGACTAGATATATATTTTGTTCCTTAACTATGACCATAGACATTTTAAGATTATGTCTGTATTATTTTTGTCTCATCCTTTATATATCATAACAAACCTAAAGAGACTTTCATCACTTGTTTAGGCTTTATCATTTTTCCTATTTTAGAAAATATCTCCATTCTCATATCCTTTTAACATCTTTTGCATTCTCAATTTTTTTTTTTTTAAATTTTGAGACATAAGAGCATTAACAAATAAATTTTCCATCTGTTGTGAGACTTCTTTTCCTGGGGATGCGAAGCAATGCTCATTCCCTTTCAAGGTTCTAGTGTCAAGCCAATGTTTGATGAAGTCTTACTGGGGAACAAATGAGTTTATTGAGCTTACTTACTGAGATAACTGAGGGGTTGCTGAGGTGTATGTATGACCTCAGGGTATGCACACTGGAAAGCCTTTACCCAGGATGGGTCATGCCTCTCTTCCTAGCCTTCCCCAGATTGTATACTTCAGCCCTCCCCAAATCCAGGAGGCTGTGTATGATTAGGGTCAGATTACATACAGTTGGCTGGGAAGAGTGGCTGGATAATGCGGTGAGGTCCAATGACCCTGCTTGGCCCTCCTTTAATGAATGAGCACAATGGTCAACAAGCCCAGTTGTGATAATGTTTAGCAATTAGGCTCAGCTGAAGTTTTGATGATGGTAGTTATTTCATGCAGTAGGGAGTGCTGTATAGCAACATCTTATTAATAGGACCTGGAATTTAAAAGGATTTGGTTCTAGGATCCACATATGAGGGAGAACATATATCATTTGTTTTTCTGAGTCTGTGTTACTTCACTTGGTATAACAGTTTCTAGATCCATCCATTTACCTGCAAATTTCATTATTTCATCTTTCTTTACTGCTGAATAGAACTCCATTATGTAAATATACCACATTTTTGTTAAGCACTCGTTAGTTGAGGAGCACTTAGGTTGCTTCCATCTCTTAGCTATTGTGAAAAGAGCAGCAACAAACATGGTTGTACAAGTGTCTCTACAATAGGATGAGTCCTTTGGGTATATGCCAAGGAGTCATATAACCGGGTCCTATTAAAGTTTTAAATAGTCATACACTTAAGAAACACAAATTGTATATGATTATAAACATAAGCTTTTGGATATCCATCATGATCTTGTTGTGATTCAGAGAAACTAAATGAGATTGCTTTCAGTGATAATTTGAAGATGATTTCATGTGATTTTTACTTCCTAATCTGTGACAGGAGACATCTAGAAAATAGTTTTATGCATTTTTGTAGAAACTGTACATTTGATAAGAGATAACATCTTAATGAAAGTTGAAAAAATGTGCACCTTTAATTCCTATTCAGCAAGATTAATTATGTAAAACCCTTTTGGTTAGTTTCTGCATCTAGAAAGCACCTTTGAAGAAAAAGATTATGTATGTGAGAGAATGGTGGAGTTTCTGATGGGCGCAGCCAAGCGAGAAATATCAGATATTCTGTCCTTTCAGCTCTTAGAGGCTCTTTTATTTAGAGTTCAGCTACACATATTTACTGGAAGATGTCAAAGTGCACTAGCAATTTTACAGGTAAACGTTTATTTATTATAGTATATAATTTCATTTTGGAGAGTATTTATAAAGGTCTGAGACATGAGTAGCAATTGTTTAGTGGTGAGGCACAGACTTTGGATTTGAACCCTTGTTTTGCCATGTTCCATCAAGTTGTGTGACATTTCCACATTTGTTTGGCACTGTCTTTTTTAGTGTCCATTACAAGGTTTCCATGGAAAGATTCTGTATTAAGTATTCACCAGGAAAACTTCAGAATAAAAACTCTAAAAGAATTAGTCCGTAATAAAAATCATCTCTATTGATACAGGTTTTGGGAGGTTGGTTTTTGTTTTGTTTTTTAAGTACTGTTTTTGTCTTTAACTTACTTGATTTTAGGTATTAGGACACTTAATACATTTTGTCTTATTTCACTATGTTAGTCTTGAGATTTTTCATTAAAAATTTTATGTTCAACAGTGAAGGGCACTGGCTGCTCTTAGAGAGAACATGGGGTTGGTTCTCAGCACCCACATGGAGGCTCACAACTGCCGGTAACTCCACTTCCAGAGGATCAGACACCCTCTTTTGGCATCTGAGGGCGTTGTGTGCATGTAGTACACTTACATGCAGGCAAAATACTCATATACATTTTTTTTTTGTCTTTTTAGACAGGGTCTCCCTGTAGCCCCAGCTGACCTGGAACTCCCTATGTAGACCAGGCTGGCCTGGATTTGCCTGCTTCTGGGCCCCCCCCCCCCCCCAAGAGCTGAGAGGTGTGCACAATCACACTCGTGGCTTGCATACACACTCAACAACAACAACAAAATCCTTTTTTTTACTTAGATATTTTTAACAATCACTTTAAAGAGTATAACAGTTTTATTTAGATTTGAATCTTACTGTGAATAGGAACCGTTTTTTTAAAAAAACACTTCAAATTATTCTTTTCATTTTACCTAGAATGCATTAAAATTGGCTAATGATGAGATAGTAGCTGAATACCTTAGAACAAATGATCGGTGTTTGGCGTGGCTGGCCTACATACATCTTATTGAATTCAACATTCTCCCTTCAAAATTTTATGATCCATCTAATGCTAATCCTTCAAGAATTGTTAACACTGAACCATTTGTAATGCCATGGCAAGCAGTTCAAGATGTAAAAACTAATCCTGACTTATTATTAGCAGTTTTTGAAGGTAAGTAATGTTTATAAATTATAACATCAACCATTACAAATTATAGCACAGATGTTTAGAACATCAATTCATTCATTAGTACAATTTTCCATGAAGAATAAATACAAGCTTTAATTTCAACTTATTACCTAAATATTTTTAGTTACTGAATTAGATAGCTGGTTTTTGACATTGATGAAAATGAAAAACTAAATTATGTGAATTATTTTTAAATTATGGCAAAGGATATTAGTTAAATGTATTGTTAATAAATATATGTGTATCTGCATGCATGCACGTACATATACACTTACTGATAATATAGGTTGCAGGTTAGCGGATTTGATTGAATGGAAGAAGCACGTTTGCTTGTTATTTGGTTATTCTGGAAGTCCATTAAAGTGGAAGCTTTAAAGGATATGTTTTGTCTTTTCATTTAGTTAATTTCTGTCAATGCCTTTGATTGCTGTTCTATTCTACACATATCAGCCATTGGACACTTAATTGGTTTAAAGCTTGTTCCTTCCCAAAATAAGTATATAACCCACTCAGAAGATAAGATGTATGCATTTGACATAATTATTAAGTATATAAGGTCATATGTAGTGTATTAGTATATAATGTAAATTGTATTCTACAAGAGAAACAAGAATCTGTGATTTACAGTTATTTAATACAAATCCAGAGATTACTGTAGGTTGGTACATTCTAAGGCTTTATAAAGGAACTGAGGGTTGGAACTTAGCTTTGAAGTAGGACTGTGATGTGCCAAGTAGGTCTTCTCAAAGATGTAGACCTAGGTTCTCTGTATTATCTAAGAGCTTTTGATGAATTCCTACAGTTTACTTAATGCTTAGTAAATGCTTGTTGAATAATCCAGTGAAGAAAGGAAAGGTCATTCCTGTTAGAGGAGCTAAGTAAATGAAAAACAACAAATTGATAAGAATTTCTACAATGAATTTGAAGAGAAATTGGAGAATCCTTATAAAATGAATTCTGGCTGGGCGTGGTAGCACACACCTTTAGTTCCAGGACAGTCTAGTCTACATAGTGAGTTCTGGGACAGCTGGGGCTACAGGGAGAACCTGTCTCAAAAAGACAAAAAAATAGAATTCTGGGGCTGGAGAGGTGGTACAGTGGTTAAGCACTTGCTGCTCTTTCAGAGGATAGGGTTTGAGCTATACATGGTGACTCACAAACCATCTGTAACTCCATTTCCAGGGGATTCTTCTGGCCTCTGCGGGCATTACATGCACATGGGGTACTTACATACATTCAGGCAAAACACTATGTATTACATGCAAGCAGACTACCCCACACATAAAATTAAAAATAATAAATTAATAAGAGTGAATATTTTGCTAGAAAATAGGAAAGATTAAGCTCGATTAGTGACTTGTTGACAAATTTTAAAGGCCTTTCCAAATGTTGCAGATGTGATTGACAGTAGATATTCTTTAAAAGTGAGAGACTATGATAGAAGAGAAATTTTACTACATATAGGAAAACCAACCAGAAGATCATTGCTATAACAGGTATAAGAAGAAGTACCACAGGGTTGGTGAGATGGCTCAGCAGATAGACGCACTTGCTGCCAAGTGTGAAGACCTGAGTTCAATGCCTGGGACCCACATGGTGTGAAAAGAATGAGTTGCTGCAAGTTGTCCTGACTGCATGGCATGTTCATGTATACGTGTGCACGTGTGCGTGCGTGCATGCATGCACAAATAAATGTGATAAAAATTTTTAATAAAAGAAAAATCACAGAAAAATAGTGTTTATTAGAGACATCTCAAGTTACTACAAAGAGATGTAGTAGAGGATAAAATTCTAGGGAAGAAGAGAAAGAATGGTCACAGGTGATTTCCAGGTTTTTAAGACTGAGAAAAGGAAAGTGATATTAATAGAAAACTTAATAACTCAGACTAATTGTGGAAGTAGTAGTATTTTTGAATGATTGGTCATCTTAAGTGAAAAATGATTGTTGGCAGAGGAAATAAGAAAGCTGACCTTAAGTGAGCATTTATGGATAGATCAATGGATTTGAGGGTTATTAACATAGAAGTTATTTATTTTTAAAATATTTTATTTTTATTTTGTGTGTATGAGTGTATTGCCTGCATGTGTGTAATGCAATGTCCGCAGAGGTCAGAGAGGGCGTTGGAGTCCCCTGGAACTAGAGTTAGGACAGTTGTTAGCTAACATATGGGTGCTGAGACTCAAACCCAGGTCCTTTGTGAGAACAGCCAGTGCTCTTAACTGCTGAGCCATCTTTCTAGCCCCAGAAGTTATTTATTATAAGTAGTTTATGATTTTTAATGTGTTCTCATTGTAAATTATTTAGTATAGATTGAGCATCCCTAATTTGGTCAAAATCCGAAAAGTTCAAAAATCTAAATCGCAAAGTTTTTGAGTACTGATGTGGTTAACATGATGCTATAAATGGTAAATTCCATACCCGATCTTATATAATACAGTCACAGTCAAAACACAGATGCATTAAAGATGTGTTAAATTACCTTCAGGTATGTCTATAAGGTATATTTTGAACATGAATGTTGTGTTCAGCCTTGAGTCCTATAACCAAGGTAAATCTCATTATGTATATACAAATATTCCAAAATCTGGAAAAAATAAAACCCAAACAAACCAACAAACTACCTCACATCTGAAATCCTTAGGGATCCCCAAAATCTTTAGGAAAACTAAATACCTTTTGAGCTATTTTCTTTGAGAGAATGAAATTTAAGAGCATAGCAGTAAGGAGTAAAAGGAAATCTTGTATTAGTGAATTAAACTAAGAGGAAATAATCTCTTGGAAGCACAACCAAGAAGGGGGGTGGGGATGGGATGGGTGTGTGTGTGTGTGTGTATGTCTGTCTGTCTGTCTTTTTTGAGACAGGGTCTCTCTGTAGCCCCAGCTGGCCTGGAACTCACTATGTAGACTAGGCTGGCCTCAAACTCACAGAGATCTGCCTGCCTCTAAGAAGAAATTTTTTTTGGTCTTTTTGAGACAGGGTTTCCCTGTAGCCCCAGCTATCCTGGAACTCACTGTGTAGATCAGGCTGGCCTTGAACTCAGAGAGATCCGCCTACCTCTGCCTCCTGAGTGCTGGGATTAAAAGGCGTGTGCCACCATGCCTGGCAAGAAGAAATATTTTAAAGGGGGAAGGTTGAACTTGTGAAATCAGTGGTAGAACACTGGCCTAGCATGTTCAAGGCTGTGGGTTTGATTCTGCATCCCCAGAGGGGAAGTGCACCATTGTCACATGCTAATCAAATAAAATGAGAATGAGTATATTTAAGTTTGGTTGGGTACAAATCTAAGTAAACTTTGAATGCTGCGTTTAGACTGATGACACTTAACGCCATAATTCTGGCACATTATTCCAGTATTGGGAAAGGAAGAAATGGTGATGGTTGTGCAATGTCAAACATTGTAAGACACTCATAAGATCAGATGAAGGGCTCGTTACAGGGGAAAAGTGTATTTTGAAGGAATAAGGGAAAGATCTAGTTCAGGGGGATATACTTAAATAGCTATGAAGCATCAGAGAAAGACCTCCTTTGAAGTGATTAGAGAAAGATGGAAAGATAATTTTATGATGCTTTTTTGGGGAATGAATTTTCATGAAACTTCAGGTAATTGAGAGTAAAAATATAGATAAGTGTGGGGTCTCAGTATTGAATGCTGCTTCTCTTCCCAGGAAAAGTAAGAGTAATCTATTGGATTTTAGGAGTCTGAAGATACCTGAAATACCTCATTTGGGTAAATGCTAGGATTTCAGTGAAGATGAAAAGGATAATGGACAAAGGGATAGGACATTTTTTTTTGATCACTGATCAAAATAGTCAAATAATTGTATGTTTGGTTCATATTGTGGTATTTGTAATAGATGCAGTGAAAGCTTGTACGGATGAGAACCTTACCAGTGGAGAGAGAATAGAGGTCTGCCTTCCACTTTACACAAATATGATTGCTCTGCACCAGATCCTAGAGAGGTAAAACTTAACAAGTAACTAACTGTTAAAGATTGGTCTTTTAAGAAGTGTGTTGAGCCATTCTTTTTCTTGTTAAGGTTTGAGGCAGCAGTGGAGCTTTGCAAATGTTTATTGGAATCATGTCCCATGAACTGCCAGTTATTGGAAGCCCTTGCTGCTTTATATTTGAAAACAAATCAGTATGATGAGGCCAGATTGGTGTGGCTTACTGCATTTGAAAATAATCCTCAGAATTCAGAGATTTTTTATCATATGTGCAAATTCTTCATCTTACAGGTAAAAAATGATTCAGAAATCTTTAATATGATGTTTTTGTATTGGAATCTTTATCAGTACTCTCTTCAGGAAGCATGTCCTGGTCCTTTTGCCCTTTGTAGGTCATGCTAGATTTTCCCTCTATTATTGCCATAGTTGTACCATTGGATATAGAACTCTTCATGAACACAGGCTCTATGTTACTCATATTTGCAGCCCAAACCTGTACTTCATTGCCAAATGTGATAGCTCCTTAAGATACCGATGAATGGAATTTGGTCTTGTGGCAATATCAGATAAATAGTTAGTTGAATTTAATTCACAGGTGTTCTAGATTCATTTCTGTTGCTATATAAACTACCCTGACAAAAAGCCGCTTAGGGGAGAAAGGGTTTATTTTATATCACAATTCCTAGTTATAGTCCATTATTTCAAGGAAGTCAAGGTAACAGGAGCTTGAATCAGCTAGTCACAACACATCCACAGTCAGGAACAGAAAGTGATTGCATGTATGCTTGTTAGTGCTCAGTTTGCTTTCTGCTCTTAACAGTTCAGTATCCTCTAGGGAACAGTGCCAGTGCTGCCCACAGTGGGTGAATCTTCCCTCATCAATTAACATACAGGCCAACCTGATCTAGCCAGTCCTTTTTCCAGGTGATTCATTCTAGGTTTGTGTCAAGTTGACAATTAGACTCAACCAACACAAGAAGTGACAGTATAGAAGTTAGTTGAATGTTTCCCAAACCTACTCATTCTATCCCCCATCTAACTAAAGAAACATAATCAGTGATTTTTTAAAAAGAATTTTCCTCTTTTCAAACATTTTTATTGAGCATTATAAGCCTGATGTATATTTTTCTCTTTTAAATAGAACCGAGGCGATAATCTTCTTCCATTTTTGCGGAAATTTATTGCATCCTTCTTTAAACCTGGGTTTGAAAAGTACAGTAACTTGGACTTATTTCGGTAAGTTGTAGAGCTTTGATTTGTAGAAGAAAGAGAATGTAGGTCAGTGGAAAGATACTGTGTGTGTGTGTGTGTGTGTGTGCGCGCGCGCGCTCTGCTTACATTTTAGACTGATGACTATTTTGCACTTGAGTACTTGCTTACAGAAGTATTAAGAGCAGCAGAGTAAGTAGAATAATCAAAATGGAGGCAAGATAAGAAATGCCTATGGATTTTGGATCAAAGGCACCATGCATAGTAAGACCTATTGTAACTCTTCAATTTGGTTGGGTTTTTTTTTTTTGGTCTTTTTTGAGACAGGGTCTCCCTGTAGCCCCAGCTGTCCTGGAACTCACTATGTAGACCAGGGGCCTTGAACTCACAGAGATCCGCCTGCCTCTGCCTCCCACCACCACCACGCCCGGCTTGGTTTTTAAAAAATATAATAATTTTATGTGTATGAGTGTTTTGCTTGCATGTATATAAGTTTTAGAGAGTTTTTTTTTCTCACCCATCAGTTTCTCTCACTAGCTTTGTATTTATTATCTTTCTTTGCTGAGAGTTCTGTTCCAACATTAAGAGATCACATCAGATCATGAAGAATGATTTTGGAGGAGACTTCCTCCTTCCTCAGTTCTCTATAGGGGATCAGCAGACCTTTTTTTCTTAAGGACCTTTACCCTTCCTCTAGATTTTATGCATTCTGTCACATATGTTAAGGCCTATTGAATCAAGTTGTGTCCCCAAATGTCTCTTGGTGTGAGTCCATCCACTGGAGCTTAGTCAACCTATTTAGCATCATGCTTCTAAAGAAGACCAACTCTCTCTCACCCAGCAGTGATAAGTTGCCAATAGTTCCCTTTGTCTGTTTCTGAGTGCGTGTCTCTGGATTTGTGTATATGACTACAGTGCCAATGAAGGCCAAAAGAGGGCGTTGAATCTTCTCAAGTTGGAGTGCCTGACTTTGGTGTTAGAAACTGAACTCTGGTCTACTTCAAGAGCAGCAACCACTCTTAACTGCTAAACTATCTCTCCCTCCCTCCAAAAAAAAAAAAAAAATTCTTATAGAAAATATTGATGAATGAAAATAAAATCTTTGTTTTTATAGATTTATTTTCTTAGGTACCAACCATGTTATGGGAAGTCAGATTTTTGTTTTTAAAATACCCAGATTTTTAAAAAGCAATTGGTTCACCTATCTTACAGGTTTTATAAGCTTGGGTCTTCACATCTGTGAATTAATTAACCTGGTAATTTTAGGACCTTTCTCTGCTACGTCAATATTTTAAAAACAGTTATACGCAAATCAGTTTTAATGCAAATTAATGGAAGAGAAATGTACTATAAGAAATTCAGAGATTGTTCATCTCCCAAAACCTGATTTTCTCCCTTTTTAAAGATTAGATTAAGTTTTCAAACTTAGACAAAAACTGGTTCTGGTTTTCCCTTAGACATGAATGTAATTGATATGCCAGATTTTGCCTTTAGATCTTCTTAATGTTAGTTTAAATAAACAGAATAAAAGATAGTACCAATGAAAATTTATAACTAGAATGCCTCCAAATCATCTCAATTCTTGTCATTAAGCTATCTTTCTTTATTCTTTCTTGAACTTCTCATATATCACCAAGAATTAGAAAAAGATACCAAATTTATTTAGATAATTCTGAAGTTCTTGTCTGCACTAAGATTTTCATTAATTTATGAAGTCATTTAGCCAGGCATTGTGGCACACACCTGTGATCCCAGCACACATGTAAGTTCAAGACTAGTTTAGGCTACACAGTGAGACCCTTTCTTGAAACCAAATAAACAAAAAAAGTCTTTTGAGTCAAATATTAGGAGAATGACAGTTAAGGAGATAATTTTTGTCATTGCTGTGATTATTGTGTGTATACATCTGATGTTTATAGTTTTGAGTTTATAAATATAACCAGTTTTTTTAAAGTAGAAGTCAGTGCTCTTAATACATTCAAAATATATTTTCTGGGTAGAATTTGTAAAGCAAAATTGGTAGCACTGTATTATTTACTTGGAATTGATTTTTTTTGGGGGGGGGGCGGGCGTCTTTTGAGACAGAGTCTTCTTGTAGCTCCAGCTGCCTAGAACTCACTATGTAGACCAGGCTGGCCTTGAACTCACAGAGATCTGCCCGCCTCTGTTGGGATTAAAGGTGTGTGCCACCATGCCCGGCTTTGAAATTAAATTTTTATCAACTCTTTCTCTGTGACATTTAGTGTAAAGATGACAATAAGGTAATTTTCATTTGTTTTAAAATCAATTTCACTGTTAAGAGAATTGCTAGACTGTTAGTTGATTTCATTCACTTTGAAGTAGTGGCCCTGGAGATTGTACAGTACAGTCTTATATATATTAGATTTAAGATCATTTCAGTTTTCAGTGGCGGGAACTAAAATCCTTAGAAGTCTAAGTAGATAGATGGCTCAAGGTAATGCAGCCAATTATGATAGTAAGGATAACCTGACTTCCACATGTCCTGTTGCTTGTGTTTGCTGCCTTCCTGAAAATTAGGCTGAGCATTAAAACTTTACCCTTGCAATCTTTTAAAAACCCAGTGTAAATGATAATACTAGATTGCCAGTTCGAGATTAGATGAAGACACTGGTAAAAGTATGAGATGTAAACAGATGGAAATACATTGGGAGGAAAGCTGAGCTACTGAAGGTCAAATAAATTTCTTTACTAATCAGCTTCTTGGAGCTTTTAATGTTCTATGACATTTATATTACATTATATCTACAATTCAGAGCATTTCTCAACTTTTTTGGATCATGGATCTCTTTGATAAATACCTCTGGGCCAATGTGTTATCTGCTACTATGTCAAAATTAAGCTTTCATGGGGGTATGTGTGTGTCTGTCTGTCTGAAAGATTTCAGATACAGGCTTTCTAAAGTATATTGTCCCTTCCACAGAAAAGTACAGATTTTATGGAAATTTCAGATACTTGGTATTCTCATTTTATCTTTTATATTTTTAATTAGATGATTTGTATGATAGAACTAAATATTAATTTTAGGGAAGGTATTCATAATTGGTAGAAAAATAAAAATTTGAGTAAACATGATCCTAGGAAAAGTTCATTTTTTCGTAAAATATAGTTCAATTAAGTTGAAACTCAGGGTTTTCTTTATTGCATTTGTGATCCATGTATGCCTAAGCACAATTTCATATAATGTTAGGTTTTTCTTTTTTCAGATATCTCTTGAATATCCCAGGACCACTCGACATTCCAGCCTGTTTATGTAAAGAGAATTTTGATGATGACACGTTTAACAACCAAATTCCTTATTTGTGGCTGATTTACTGGTAAGACATTACCCATTGTGGAGAGAAACATTGTATGCCAGGCCTCCTGTCTTTGGTATTTACTACTCAATTACGTTATTTTTAAAAAGACATTGAAGCAAAACTAAAGAAATACTTAGGTTTATTATTTACTAAAAAAGAAAGATTGAAATAATTTCATTATAATATCTGTAATGTTTGAAGTATGCTTTGTCATTCTCTCACCTAATGCATTTGAGTTGTAGACATGTTTTCCTTTGTTTCTTAAACAGCCTTTGTCATCCTCTTCAATCAAGTGTTAAAGAGACGGTGGAAGCATATGAGGCAGCATTAGGAGTGGCCATGAGGTCTGATATAGTGCAGATGATTTGGATGGAGTAAGTTTTAGTTTCTCTTAAGAATCGGATTTTTAGAGTAAACATAAATGGTTGGGGAAAGGGTGGTCAGCTTCTTTGGTGAGTTACTGGCTTAATTATTCTAAGTTATTCTAAAATACAGTATTTTTCTTTTGACAGTTATCTTGTCTTTGCCAATAATAGAGCTGCTGGATCCAGAAACAAAATCCAAGAATTCAGATTTTTTACTGATTTAGTGAATAGATGTTTGGTTACAGTCCCTACCCGATACCCCATTCCTTTTAGCAGTGCTGATTACTGGTCCAACTATGAATTTCATAATCAGGTAAGAACTTAGACTTTTTTCTTTAGATGCTCTTTTATATAACAAAGGGACTTTAACCATGATAGCAAAACTGCTCTTTCGTAAATCAAGAGAGCTTTTCCTGGGATCACTATCCCAACATTCACTGTTAATCTTGTCAATAATTCTTACCTCTTCAAAGTATAGGAATGGTGCCATGTAAGGCTCTCTAAACATCAGCATATATACATTGTAGCTGCTCTTTTTGCTGATGTTTTTCAAACAGATAATAGCCCATGTACAGGGCATAGTGAAGTTGAAAATCAGGTGCTGCTTTAAATTTCAGTAGTAGAATCTAATGATGCATTTACCAAACAGTATATTATGAAAAAAAAATGGATTTTTTTTCTTTATTTTCAGAATCCCCTTTCAGTCAATACAATGTAAAACAAAAGCTCCTGCTTAAAGTTCAGTGTAAACTCAAACATATGCTTTGTGGGGGGTAGGAAGGGGTAGGACGGGGAACTCACTATGCAGACCAGGCTGGTTTTGATCGCACAGAGATCTGCCTGCCTCTACCTTTGCCTCTGCCTCCACCTTTGCCTCTGCCTCCCAAGTGCTGAGATTGAAGGTGTGTGTGCCACCATGCCCAGCCACATGCTGCCCCCCGCCCCCCCCCCTTGTTGGGTAGTTTAGCTGCTAATCAGGATAACCAATTATTATGCTTTGTGCTTCTATGTTATTCTTTATCCCAGGGTCTCAAACCACTTTGTGGCCATTAAATCATTTACACATTGCATGAGCAAGATGGGGCAGGCATTATTAGCCCTATGACTTGCCCTGCAATGCAGGAATAGAAACCTGGACTCCTGGCTTCTTGTCAGGGCCATGTCCATGGCTCTCATCACGAGACCATATTTTCTAATTCATATTTGGGAAGTCACTAATATAATTAATTATATATAATTATAATTTGTATATTCGTGTCTCAGAGACCTTTTTGTTTTTCTCATTAAAACCCATAGGTAATTAGATTTCTACTTTTTAGTTGCATTCATGTTTCCCTCCCTCAACCTTCACAGGTTATTTTCTTTTATTTGAGCTGTGTTCCAAAGACCCAGCATTCCAAAACCTTGGAACGGTTTTGCACAGTTATGCCAACTAATTCTGGACTTGCACTGAGGTAAGACAAAATAAATTTTTTGATTCTCAGTCTTTCATGGAAAATTATTCTTGAAAACTTGATAAAAACCATTTAAGTTCTATTATTTCTTTACGAATATAGACTTCTTTGATCTCAGGCTTGTTAAGTCATATTCAGATAGTCATAGAAAAGCCACTTTAGAAAACTGCAGGTTGTTAAGGGGAGCAATTAATTCAAGTAAATTCACTTGTATTCCCCAGGCACATACATACCATCTGCCATAAGCACATGCGTTATAAGCAGTGCACCTATTTTACATGTCAGAAGAATATCAAGAGATTTTCATATGTCAGTTACTCTCAAATGTATTTGCATGGGCTAGAATCTCATGAGATGTTTACTTAAAATTGAGATCCTAAACTTGAGCCTTCAAACCCTATTTGAGCACTGATCTAGGCATTTTCTACATTTAATTAGAATAAGGGAATTTCTGACCATTTATTTGTAGTTTCTTTGCTCTGGTAGAATAAGCATTCTTTTTTTTTTTTTTCTTCTGGTAGGTTTTTTTTTTTTTTTTCCTTGTATTTTGTTTATTTTAAGACAGGGTCTCTGTGTAGCCCCAACTACTCTAGAACTCACTGTGTAGACCAGGCTGGCATGGAAATCAGGGAAATCCACCTGCCTCTAACTGCTGGATGCTGGGATTAAAAGTGTGCACCGCCATTCTTTTACTCTGAAAAATTAAGATTTTAAATCCTAAAGGGACTTAAGCACACTAAAGCTTCAACTTCCATTTATGCAGCCGTTCCTTTTGCATTATGACATAACTAGTAAGCTTCTATAAGATCCTAAAGCACTTACCAAATATTCTTTTGTGTCTTGAACTATTTATATTTCACATATTATGTGTATGAGATGATACATGGTATAAGTCTAAAAAACAGTTCAAAGATTTAAGTTTATGAGAAAAATAGCCATGTTGTTCTCTAATTAAATTTCTTGCCAATTAATGTTAATCCAGAAGCTAATAATAAAAGTTTGAATTTGGAAAATCATCTTTGATAAACACGTGAAACAGAAAATGTGATTGCATTTTTGACTAGTTTCTAATCAGCATTTTAGAGCAAAGGTAGTTTAATTGTAAGTAAAACCCCACTTCTTGTTTTGGTACTTCTTACAGTTATCCCTACCTTTTTTTTTTTGCCCCCTAGGTAAGAATTTAACAGTCACTATATTTTCATTTTAGTTCTAGAAACATTCAAGATTATCCTTTAAGAAAGAAAAAATATTAAAAAAAAAATTGCTTTCATCTATTAAGGCACTAACTTAAAAACATTTGGGGTAGAGGATTACATAATGAAGTGCTTTTGTTGTTTGTAGTAATACATGCCCTTTTATTTACTTTTTTGAGGATTCGCATAGAACTTGATGGACTTCCTGATAGTTAATACATCTTATCCCAGGACAGTTATCATAAGAGACATTCTATAAATATTTGCTGAATATCTTTGATAGACTTTTACCTGACCAACCTCTGTCCCTCATGCATTCTATTCATAGAGCACATTTGGGGTCCCCTATACTTTCAATGCTTTGTTCATTTTCCTGACTGTACTTCACAGGCTACTTCAACATGAATGGGAAGAAAGCAATGTTCAGATTCTGAAACTTCAAGCCAAGATGTTTACATATAATATCCCAACATGCCTGGCCACCTGGAAAATGTAATGCAACAATCACGTACATGTTTTTATAGCTATTGCTTTTATTTGTAAGGTTTGCTCCAGACAGGTAAATCTGAAATGGCATTTTTTTTCTCCCTAGACAGATTTCTAAATGTAGATTTGTTTGGGGCACTGTTGTGGTTTAATACCTAGTATGAGTAAATGCTCATGAATAGTTGTTTCTAAATTTAAAAAGGCTAGCCTTTTAATGCGAAAGAACATTTAGATACAATACTGTTACAAAGCAAGTAAGTCTATTATACACACTTTAGGACCATCTACTTTAAAATGTGGGGGTTTTCCCTGTTGTGGTCTGATTTTCTTTTTTTATTTTAAAGATGTTAGTGCCAGGTGTTTTTAACTAGTTATGAGGTTTTTTTTTTAATTTATGTTCAAAACACTGGTCTGCTTCATACTTGTAAAGTTGATAAAAATTGTTGAATTTTTCTTTTCACTATAGGTTACCCTCCTTGGAAGTTTAGCCTGTTACTTTCAGGAAGTTTTGTACTCAGATTCCCACAATCAGTATTCTGCCAGTGGTGGTGTTTCATTTTGTTTGAAGATATATAATTTTTTTTCCCTTTTCTATATTCCTTTTTTTCTCTTAGAGCCATTGCTGCTGAGATTGTTCTAAAGGGACAAAGAGAGGTAAGCCATCCATAATTGAATTATCAGATGGGCCATCTATTTTTCCTTTTTGCTATTTTGCCCCTTTTGTTGACCTCTCTTTAAAAGTAAAGAAACTTCTATGAAAGCATAGAAGTTAACATAACAAGAGCTCTAAATATTTGGAATCTCTAAAAGCCCAACACAACCATTTTGACTTGAATGTTAATATATCGTAAAGTAGTACTTTGGAACAGACAGGATTGTGAAAGTGTTTTCTGCCATGTTTTCTGATGAAAGTGTGTATATATCTATCTTACAGGTTCACCGTTTATATCAGAGAGCCTTACAGAAGTTACCTCTTTGTGCATCACTATGGAAAGATGTAATGCTTTTTATCTTTTATTTTATCTTGATGTTGCCTATCAATTTTCTGCATGTGCCATGTCCATTGATGTGGTAATGCTCAAAATCTGGCTGTCTCTTACTTCTCTGCTTCCCTGTCTCTTGCAGCAACTCTTGTTTGAAGCATCAGAAGGAGGTAAAACTGATAACCTGAGAAAACTAGTTTCCAAGTGCCAAGAGATTGGAGTCAGCCTAAATGAGCTCTTAAATTTAAACAGTAACAAAACAGAAAGCAAGAATCACTGAACACTGGGTGCAGTCAGTTCTAAGCCCTTTTAATAATTAATTGCCAAACATGATTCTTCAAGATTAGGCTGATCCCTGGCTAAGGTCTGTGTAAGGCAGACAAGCATTATTGATCATATCAAGTCCCCTACAATATCCTATCCTTAAAACCGGAAGCAATGAACATGACAGTCTTCGACTGGATAAATGAACTTCCTGTTTGGCCTGCTTCTAGGCCCTGCCAGATTCTCATAACATCATGTACGTAAGTATGGCTCCTCAGAGTGACTGACACTGATTTTAATTTTACTTTGGTTTTTGGTTTCTTTTTTCTTTTTTTTTTTTTTTTTCTTTTTTTCTTTTTTTTTCCTTTTTTAAATTCTTCCCTACCTTTATGTTGTGCTGTTCCTGATCCACTTGACACTCTCTGATGCCTGAGAGATTCTTGTTTGGGATTTAATTTCCAGGGCTGTGTTTATAGTAAGAAAGCAGGCAGTCCCTATTAGTTCCTCCTCTTTAAATCTTTTGAGATTCTTCATTTCAGGATTTAAAACTTAAGCAGTCCATCTTAAGGAAAGTGTAACTGCCATGCCACAGTCTGCTAGTTGCACTTGAATGTTCTAGCAGGTTGTTTATTGCCCTTTCTACGTTTTGGACTCCTTGCTGAGACTGTTTAACTTGAAGATTAAAGAAACTATTGCAAATGCCAGTGCATCAGAACCTAAGAGTGGTCAAATATTATGTGCAATTTTTTGTAAAGAAAATTTAATTTATAATAAAGTTTAACAGTTTAAAGAACAGTTAATATTTGAACTGCTTTGTATTAGAATACTACTTTGTAGTATTAAATTGTTCATATACAAAATATTTTTAATATAAGTTAACTTTTTAAAAAATGTCGCTGTCTTTATTCACTTTTCACAGTGGTGGGAAAGGGTTGAAGTATGAGAGGGAAACTCCCCATACTGATACCCTTGCTTTCTTATTCTACAACTCCTTTCCCATTAAAAAATAAATCCAATGACTTTAATTAATGAGGAGATAGGTGTTCTGTTCTGAGAACAGTAAACAGACAGGGTTGTACTACCTTAGGCGCTACGTTCTCAAAAACAGTGTTTAGTGACACCCAGTTGTAGTTTGATTTATTTGCCTAGCAACACACTGGCTTCTGTTAAATAATAATATTTAACAAATATGTAAAGAAAACCTGCTCTTTGTTCAAATTATTAAGAAAAATTGTTACAACTCACACAATATTATAAATTTGGTTATGAAATCAGCTATCTGCAACCTTAGTGTTGGGACCAGAGCAACAATACATTGAAGTGACAGGCACATCGGTACATCTTTATGTCTTGATAGTGCTTGCTCAGAACTTTATTTTCTTTTAGGAGGGAGAGGATCTTTTTTGAGATGGAGTCTCTCTGTAATCCCAGCTGGCCTAGAACTTTCTATGTGGAGGAGGCTGACCTTGGTTTCACGGAGTTCTCCCTGCCTCTGTCTTCTGAGTGCTGGGTTTAAAGGCATGCGCCACTATGCCCGGCTTTTCAAAACTGTATTTTGAGTTACCACTGTGTGCCTACTAGATGTTAATAATTCTAGTTAGTGCTCTTTGGCTGGGCCAAGAATGGCCCTATTTGTCTAGTGTTTTTCATTTAATTCAAAAGAACTAGAGGCTTTGAAGGTTATTCCTAAAACCAAAAAAAATTTGGTTGGAAGATAAAAATTCAGAGAGATAGCCTACCAGTATATGTACTTAAATATTTAACTTTGAAAGTGTTCTGCTCTGATTATTTGAAAATTATTGTTAACTGCATGGAGAAATATTTCTGCTCTGGGGCTTAGCAGGTAAAGTGCAAGCCTGATGACCTGAGGTTGATCTCCAGAATCCATGCAAAAGTGAAAGGAGAGAACCAAGTACACAACGTGCACTGAGCTCTGCATACACACAGTGGTGTGCACACTCACCTCATCATACAAATAATAGTAATGTTTCTAATCTGTCTCTTCGTAGTTTCACAGTTGTAGTAATAACTAAATGTCTCAGTTTTTAGAAAATAGTGCTAAGCTTTAACTTTATTTTTAGTATTAATGACACCATCAGCAATAGCTATTTTCTGTTCCCCTCCTCCCTTGAGTCCTTTGAATTGTGTGCAGAGCTCCACTCAGGCCATGCATGCAACTCTGGACCCCATCATGAAGAGTGTACACATATGTAAATTGTAGCAAACTCTGGGTTTGCCATTCACATGTCATGGAGGAAAAGCCATTTCTTCCTTGAGTAGTTGTCAAATTGCTAAGCCGTGAAGGTATCTTATATTTCCTCTTTTTCCTTATAGCTTTACAGACAGGATGTTACAGTGTATCCCAGGCTGGCCTGAAACTCAAACACCAGGCAAGCATCAAACTTGCATTATAGTCCTCCTGCGTCTCTCTTCCAAGTGCTGTGATTACAGGTGTGTGCTACCACTCCCAGCTTAAGATACTATCTCTTATATCAACTTTTTTTCCTGTCATTTTCCAAACTTACTTTAACATATACATAAAAATTAAACTGGATTATGTTCCTGTTCTTTCAATATTCAGTTACTTGGTTTTTTTTTTTTTAATTAAAAAATTATTTGTATTTTTTGTGTATGAGTGTTTTGCCTACATGTTAGTAAAGGCACCTATGAACACAATGCCTGTGGAGGCCAGAAGAGGGAGTTAAATCCACTGGAATTGGAGTTACAGATGGTTGTTAGCTGCCATGTGTGTTGGGAAAAGAACCCTGTTCATCTACAAGATCAGCCAGTGCTCTTGACTGCTGAGCCATCTCTCCAGCCCCAGTTGCTCTGTTGCTCCTTTTTTTTTTTTTTTTTTTAAGTTTTAGAAAGGAGCTTTATTATAGAAGAAAGTATTTTTTAAAAGAAGCAAGCAGTGTTCATTTATAGCAGAGTAGGTCCCAAGAAAAGTTTGACATTGAGCTGATAGTTTAGGAAATTTTACAGGAATTGTGGAAGAAATTAGGTTGAGGCATGGGAGAAGAGCCAGTCAGTCCAGCCATTCAAGTCAAGTGTTCATGCACCTTGGTTTCAATTACATCCTCATGTAAACTGACTGAAAAAGAGATAACAAGAAACCAGAACCAGAACTTGTGTCCCTAAAACCTTCTGTCATTTCAGACCTAGGAGAAGAATCAGAACTGCTCTTTGGGTCTCTGTTCCCAAACTGCCTGGCAAGACTCTTTCCCCTGATTTTGTCATTAACTTCCAGTGCTTTCCTGGCCATTGTCTTGAACACAATTTACTGTCATGGAGTCAGACTGTCTGGGGTCTTTCTCAAAAGTTGCTACTAAAAAACAGCAAACCTAGCAGTCTATCTCTAGGTGATGCTGCCAATATCAGGAGGTGGGATTCACTGAAGAATAGTGGGTAGAAGTAGTACCAAGTGAGTGAAAGTCTGCTTACCAGTGCAAAGCAAGTCACCATGTCCATGTCCACATGTTGGGGAAGGGCAGTGAGTGGGTGTTGGCTGTTGTAGCAGTCGCTCCTATGGAGAGGTATCCCTTGAATGGAGGAGGCTACCTGGTCATGGCCTCAGTTGTGCTTAGCCAGGTCAACTAGGGTACAGGACACCCAACAGTCACAAAGGCAGAGCCAGGTCAGAAACAGGACATCCTGGTGAGAGATGCGGTCACTGGAAGGGTCCCTTGTTGGTAGAGTTTGTGGCTCTTGTGTGTTGAAGTGAACTGGAGTTCATCTTTTACATTGCCTGGAGTCTGAGTTTTTATGGCCTTTCTGAGGCTTACCGTGTCTTTGCAGACTTTTTCCATTCTACTCCTCCTCTTGCTTCTGATTTCCCTTGAGTACTTATGTGGGTCTAAATTTCCCATCTTTGCAAAGACAGCAGTTGTTCTGGATTCAGGAGCCATGTTTCAAAATGATACCATCTTTTTTTTTTTTTTTTTTTTTTTTTTTTTTAAAAAAAAAAAAAAAAAAAAAAAAGAGGACGATAAATCTTTCACTGTGATATATCAAAATAA